CTCTCAGAAGGGGTTTCGTTTTCAATAAGAAACGACACATGTAAGAACAATTTGATTACAGAAACAATTGAGAGGAGTATTACAGAAGCACAAATTGAAACAGATAAATGTGATAATTATAGGTCTCACAACGAATAAGAATTAGATATTGCTTTATATCAACTTGAGTTATCTAATTTAAATATAATAATAAACGAGCCTTTGTTGAGTTTATTATTATTATTTTCATTTTTTGCATTTTGCATTTTGCTTATTTCATTTGCTATTACATATAACAAAAAGGATCAGACACAATTTATCAGATAACTGTCCTAAATATAATAAGTTATAATTTATAAATATAAAGACATGCAACAACAACATTGAATAATTTAAAATTTGTACAATGGTCATAGTAAAAAAAGCTCACATTTTCCGAAATAAATAAACACTCCTACGCCAAAATACTTATGCCCCGACTTACTATAAACTATATAGATTCGTCAAAAAGAAAGAAATATACCTTTCTATAGGTCAAAACGTTCTTTTTTTTAATAGATGAAAGACTTCTTTAAATAAGAACGTTAAGAAGTTAAATTTACGTTTATTATCAATATTGAAATTAAATATCGAGTGTTGATCCGAAGCGAAATTCAATTCTCACGAGATGTTAATCAATTCTAACGAGATGTTAAAACCTATTTTTCTTATTATCTTTATCCTGATGGAATATGTTTGATTTTATAAGCTTATCTTCAAATGAAGTACGATATTGATAAATTTGTGTCAAAAACCCAGACTACAATAAACATCAGACGTTTTTCAACTTTTTGTACGCTTGAAATTGAATTCAATTTGAACAAAAAGAATATTTTCTTGTAAAACATGCATTTCAGAGGTTGTCGTTTGTTGCTGTAAATCATATTTGTTTTTCGTTTATTGATTTATTGTTTATTGACAAAACGATCTTCGTTTAATACAGCAGTGGTATGAGATGATAATCGTGAAGTGAAAGCATATGCTGATTCGCAGTCTTGGCAAGGGCCTTAAACCTATAATGGGTCTAAATTGACAAAAGTTCAAACCAGTAGAAGACGTCGTCATGCACATAGGGAAAGAGTTGTGACCCATGGGAAATTTTTCCATGAGTTGTTGATTTGATGATATGATCTATTTATTACAGCTCTGTTCTGAATGTATTTTTTTGTCATTACAAATCGAGTTAATTGTAAAGGCCTTGATCTTTCGGAATAGTGGAATAGACCTATGAATAAAGGCTGAATAAAACATATATTCACTTGATGTAAGAGTTTCAGTATGCTATATTTACCGATGAATCAAATACCCTGTTAAATCAATGATAATATGTAATAACGGATCCAAAGCAAATCATTTGTTATCAGTGAGATGTAATAAAAAAATATACGGACTGATTAAAGATTATATATGAAGAAATATCTAAAAACTGAACATCGGCCACCGGAATCTACATGTCAATTTTCAAAAAGCCCATCTCCTACTTGTGGAGCAGGATCTGTTTACCCTCCCGGAGCACCTGAGATTACCCCCAGTTTTTGGTGGGGTTCGTGTTGCTCAGTCTTTAGTTTTCTATGTTGTGTTTTGTGTACTATTGTTTGTCTGTTTGTCTTTTTTCTTTTTTAGCCATGGCGTTGTCAGTTTATTTTCGACTTATGAGTTTGAATGTCCCTATGGTATCTTTCACCTCTCTATTTTTTAACCATAAGAGGATAATTTTACAACATTTTTGTTGCATTTGCACAGTTACATTTAAAAAGTGTTTGCAAGAGCAGATTTATGAAAATTTATAAAATCTTGTATACATTTTTTTTTATTATCATATATTTTCACCCCTGGTATTCCTCTGATCGTTATAAAAATGGGGATAACGCACACACCAGTTTAGCCCCACCACATGTGTCTTTGCAAATCAAAATCCAAAATGGTTTGTTGCATTTCCAAAATGAGGCGTAGATATGTTTTGACCTTGATAACATCACACGACTTGCCTAATCTCTGAGCGATTTAGTAGGTTATGTACGGTTTAGATCCTTTTAGTATTGTTAACGACTGTGTGTTAACCTTTAAATAACATTTTATAAGTTGTGTCTTATTATTGCCGTCTTATTAACTTAAAAACTCTCATATTTGTTTTAATGAATATCCTGAAAATAAACTCATAGATACCAGGCTTAATTTTTTTGGCGCCAACCGCGTGTTTCTTCTACAAAAAGAGCTTTATGTACTCAGCAGTTTGAATACGTAATGTGTGTGCCTGCAAAAAAATTAAACTAAATGAAAAAAAAAAAAACAACAAAAAAACTTAAGAAAAATATAACAAAGTCAGGCTATCTTGACCGTGTGTTGGTCGTTGTTTGTTTTTCTTTTCTTCTATATCTGTTTTTTTCAGAGGAGTCTGGTGGTAGTGGTTGATGTATGTCCAGTTATTCTAGTGATTCCTGTTATTCGTTTCATGTTCAATTTGTTGCAATTTTGAACTAAGAGAAATCATTGGTTAAAATTTAGATTCACTCAAACTTCAGTTATTAACATACGTATTGTTATTGAATGGCTCTTTTTTATCACTATATCATAAATAATTAAGCATTATGGTTTCTTTGAAAAGTATCAATATATATATTTGGCATTGAAAAATTGATATTCAATTTTAATTTCGAGTAAAAAATTCGAACTTAACTTCTTTTTTATTTGAGCTAACTATCGACACAAACAGAACCGTTCAGAAACTAGAAAAAATAACCACATTTTAAACTCTAGGAGCTATTTTTTTTTGTAATCTCAAGCACCATTTTTTTGTCACTATAAAACCAATAATATGACTTTAATTATAGCAAATACTTATCTTAATATTCTTGTTTTATAACAATTATGTCAGTCTACAAGCTTTGACAGAATAAAGAATAATGTTACTGCGTTGATACAATCATGTCAGTCTACAAGCTTTGACAGAATAAAGAATAATGTTACTGCGTTGATACAATCATGTCAGTCTACAAGCTTTGACAGAATAAAAAATAATGTTACTGCGTTGATACAATTATGTCAGTCTACAAGCTTTGACAGAATAAAGAATAATGTTACTGCGTTGATACAATCATGTCAGTCTACAAGCTTTGACAGAATAAAGAATAATGTTACTGCGTTGATACAATCATGTCAGTCTACAAGCTTTGACAGAATAAAGAATAATGTTACTGCGTTGATACAATTATTTCCAAGAAACACAAATGCATATAATGACTAAAATATACATTCCTCTCTAAAAATACCAAATATACATTCCTCTCTCAAAATACCAAATAAACATTCCTCCCTTAAAATACCAAATATACATTCCTCTCTGAAAATACCAAATATACATTCCTCTCTCAAAATACCAAATATACATTCCTCTCTCAAAATACCAAATATACATTCCTCTCTGAAAATACCTTTCATTTATGTTTCAAACTTAAAATCTTATTATGCTGTGTTTTTATTAAAACATGAATTAAGTAAGTTAATGGTACCCAACTTGCAAGGGTCCAACTTCTCCATGCAAAAATGCAAAAACTGTAAAGGTAGGTGGCTTTGGCTTTATTATTGAAGTCTCTTTTGGCCTTATAGCCATCATGTATTTAAACACATTAAACGTTTTGGGCGTTATTGGTTGAGGCAAATCCGGAAAGGCACTCCAGACGAACCAAATTAAAAAGAAAATGATAAGTAATTGTGTAGATTCGCAAAAATCTAGGGGAATTTAAGGTTTAGATGATGACTGTTTAAAACCATAATATAACAAAATATTTTAAATAGTGCAAAATTTGTTAGTCTATCATTTATCATTATGAAAGTATTATTTCTTTCTAAAAAAAATATTTTGATCAATTGTTCGTTGTTAATAATTTTCAGTATTATAATGCATTATTAATTTTGATTGATTTGTGGTTATTTGTATAATACATCATATTTCATTATGAAACGAGCAATATATAAGTCTTATAGAACCAAACATTCAGCACACCACTGTATCATCGCACCAAATCAAGTAAGTTTCTTAAGTCTGTCATTGTAAAATTAACTGTACAGTCTGTAAAGGTAACTGTTCCATCTCCATTTAGTAATTAACTTTTGTCAATCTTTAAAATTGAGAAAATTTTGCGTTTGTCGTTTTCGGCAATTGTCTTCATACTATCGTTAAAATTGCCACCTTTTAAATCGAATGAAATCGACAAGTGAAAGCATATAACCGTCAGCAATATAAAATACTTTTTGTCATTGAAATTCTGTTTAGTTGAAGTAAATATTTCACATCTTTTATTAATGCCAAAAAGCTAGAAAATCATAAGTAATCACGATGTGACTTTTATCATTTCATGCATTAAAGACTATAAACCTTCTAACTACGAAGTGGTATTAAAACCATAAAGAATTTAGTATCATTAAATTACTTTATCTTTTAATGTATAAGTATATTCCTGGACTAAATACGTTTTTTTTCACTTGTCAAATGAACTGGTATTGATTTTTGATTTTTGTCTAATATATGCAGATGATGTATATATACATGTACTTTAATAACTAAGAATTGGGTAATTATCTGGTGGTGCATATATTTAGTCTTATGTTTACCACTAAATTCACAACATGAGATAAAAGATTGTATGTTTTTCGTAGAAAAACAGAACAGTAATGACTCATCCCTCTGTGGTCTTTTTTACCAAAATAAATCACTCTTAAATTATAACCAACTAATGGTCTTTACGACCAAGAGCTACTGATTGGCACACGCATAATAGAAATTTGAACACACAAAACAGTTTAACTTAACTTTAGACTATTATATTCGAGATTCTTAAATACTCCGTAATCTATAGATTTCTCGACTATTGCAGAATGCAGATTTTAGTTGGTATACTCCTGGTCATCTGTAGCGCAGTCAGCGCCTCCTATAAAGGAGGATATGGAAGAATAGGTGGATACGGAGGATATGGTGGATTTGGTGGTAGATTCGGAGGAATTGGTGGATACGGTGGTGGATATGGAGGATATGGTGGATTCGGCGGATATGGTGGATACGGAGGATATGGTGGATTAGGTGGATACGGAGGATACCGTGGATTCGGTGGTGGTTATGGAGGTGGATATGGCAAAGGAAAAGTTGTTATTGTAAAAGGTGGTGGTTATGGTGGTTATGGTGGTTATGGTGGTGGATTTGGTGGATTTGGTGGATTTGGTGGTTACGGAGGTGGATATGGTGGTTATGGTGGTTACGGAGGTGGATTTGGTGGTTTCGGTGGTGGATATGGTGGTTACGGAGGTGGATTTGGTGGTTACGGTGGTGGATATGGTGGTTACGGAGGTGGATATGGATATGGAAAGGGCAAAGGTAAGCTATTGTCTGTTTTAAATAATTATTTGACTATTATTTTCTGACTGGCTTTTTATTACTCAATGAATGGTTTACATTCAGTTATCTTTTTGACTACAGTTACTATATTTGCATTTCATTCTCTTACTTATGAATCTATGACTTTATATTGCGAAATTGACGACATGCCTTATTCATGGGGAATTTAATTCAAAATTTTTTCCACCATAATTATAGCGGAATAAATATGCATAAGGTTTTTGTCAGAATTCCACGTCTGCTTAAATGGAACCTATGCATAGAAATACCAGGAAAGATACAATCAACCTCGGTTTTTAATTATTAACCTAAATAAGAGTTACATAGATGTGAAGAAATTTTAATATTTTAACAAGAAACTCTAAGATCAGGTTTATCATCAAGGTAGAAAATCAAACAATCCTACAGAAAAATGAAAAAAGGTTATTTATATACATCAAATGACTATTATATATTTATAACAAAATAGAAATTTTATATACTTAGGAAAGAAAGCTCATCTCGTTTAATATACAATAGTCAAAAATATGACAAACACCAAAACTCTATAAACCCCTCTCTTGAAATGTGGAAAAGTGGAAAAAAGTAACCATCAGTTACAATAGGATAAAAAATGAATCGAATATAATAGAAATGTTGATAAGGTACATTTGTAATTTACATGTAGGTCTGTCAGAGTCTATTGCAAAAAAATGCAAGTAACTAAACGAAAAAATAATTAATGGTCATTCACTTCTATTCTTTAAATGCGAAAACTAAAATATAAAAACTAGAGTGAATCAATTGATTGCTGAGTATTTCACTTTTAAAGTTAGTTATTTTAATATCATGGGGTATTCATTTATAAATTATATCATAAGTAGATATATATATTTATATATATATCATCATTAATTTATAATTCAATTTTGATATTAATTTCCGATTTTCAAAAATTAGCTTAAAGAAATTAAATGAATTTATTTCATGGTGTTATCATTTGATATTCGCCTTAAAATGAGCCCCGCATGCTTTATCATGCATTTCTCCCCAAGCTATCTTTAAACTTTTTTTAACTAAAAAAAATCAAAAAAAAAAAATCGATTCCATTCAGATAAAGACAGTAGATTCATCAGTAATTTAGTTTCCCCAAGTGTAGTATAAAACTATGATCGAAACGTGATATTTGCAATTATTAGGTAAGGTCGACTCGATTACTTCATCATTGACCTTTGTGGCTGATGTAAATAGTTTCGACAAAAAACAATTTCAGTACCTGATTTTAATCATTTTTTCTTGAAAAATTGTACAAAAATTCATATTCTTATTGACTTACCTGCACTTTGTTGAAATTTTGTCAGTATTACATAAACAATACTAAAATCTCCAGGGATGAACACATCATTCTTTGGGTAATACGTAACATTTATGTCTCTAATACTGTGCTAAAATTCAATGTAGGGATAGTTAAGGCTTCTTTTTTTAATTTATAAAGAAACCAAAGTATTAACCTGCATATTTTGCATGATCCTAAACATACCCCAATTTGATCGTCACTTGCTTTCATTTCGTATATTTTTTCTCGTCAAAAAGAGCATTACAATTCATATTTACAGATCTTCAAAAAAAAATGATGAATACAATTGAAGAAAATACGAGTAAAATGTGACATGAAATAAACGTCAATAAGACAACAATTCGACAAAACAATACAACAAAAATACACTAAAGAACGTAAAAATATTCGTTTAAAAAAATCTGTTTGAAATTACACAAACTGATAACTTCGTAAAGCCAAAGTTATGCTATAATAACATTTATTTTCTTTGTTTTGTAGGATATTAAACACAGAATCTCATCCCGAACGAACAACGAATGCTTTTCCTTTTTTACATTTCTGATATAAAATATAATCGTTGCATTGAATTTGTGTTGATTTTTTTATCATAAATCTACAGTCTCGTCAGTGTCCATAGAGTGTCAATATAAAAAATGTAAAATAACAAAAATATCGAACTCCAAGAAAAATTCAAATGGAAAGTCCTTTAAAAACAAATAACTATTTCAACAAAGAAAAACATATTTATATGAAATTTTGTTGACATAGTTTTTTTTTATAGTGATTAAGATTATAACAATGTTTACGGCTGTACCCCGATTTTTGACATTTCTAGCTATTATGTCTGTTTGGTTTGCTCACACATTGTTGTCAATATAATGGAATTCTTTAAGACTACCATACAAGTGAGAGGTCTAGCTCGCTATACAAACAGGTTAAATCCGCCATTATCTACATAAGGAAATGCCGGTACAGAGCCAGGAATATGACAGTTATTTTCCATTATTAATGTTGCCTTCAAATCAATAAAGGTTAATTTGACTGTTGTACCCCAATTTTTGACTTTTTTTACCGATTATGTTTGTTTTTTTTGTTCACACACTGTTCTCAATAAAATTGACTTCTATGCGACTGTCATACAAGTGAGAGATCTAGTTAGCTATAAAAACAGGTTTTATCCACCATTTTCTAGATAAGGAAATTCCTGTTCCGAGTCCGGATTATGACAGTTGTTTTCCACACGTTTGATGTGTATGGGCTTTTGGTTTTGCCATTTGATAAAGGAATTTCGGTTTTGAATTTTCCTTGGAGTTCGGTATTTTTGTTATTCTACTTTTTGAAACATATGAGCCCTGATAGAGTTCATTAGCGGTTTGATACGTATTAGCTGCTGTGACTATATGCTGGTAAATGATTGAATCCAAGTTAACAGACAAAAAATGAGGGGATCGCATGAACTCCAAAGGAGAGAGACCGGGTGTATCGACAGGGTAAGCGTCTCCTGTTTCGCATGCATCCCCATAACGTGTCCGATAATTGTTTTTTTGCCAAAACGTGTCCACTTTAAAACGCTAGAACGTTTCAAATCTTTTAGTGCTAATATGTCATCAACGACGCCAATAACATTTACGATACATTCACTAAAGAGATATAAACAAGAAAAATAACTGTGTATGTCATATAAGCATCCCTGATACCAGCCTTATAATTTATAATCGTTAAAAAATATGTATTACATATAGGTAGCTTTAAAATACGTTAAAAACGGTTGTGTAACTTGCAAGATGCGAGTCATTTTAAATATGCATCATCTTAATAATAATCGACTAAAGGAAAATAATGAAATAACTAATTTTTGCTTGCTTAACGTACAGTGGCAAATATTTCATTCATGTCTAGGACGATAAAATATTTACCATCAATTCAATAGTTAAGACATGTTTGTGCGTTTTTAATATATGAACACCATGGAGCTTTCTCAAAAAGGAGACGTTGGGGATTCTATAAACACTTTTAAGGGAATGGACACGTTTGGGAGTTTTTGTTTAAATGGACACGATTGAGCATTCATGAAAAAGACACGTTTTGGCGCCCTTTATCAACTAGATAAGTTTTTGCAGTTCAGGGACGTCATACGAATTGTTTTATATTTGTCATTTCGGGGCCTTTTATAGCTGACTATGCAGTATGGGCTTTGCTCATTGTTGAAGGCCTTACGGTGACCTATAGTTTTTAATTTCTGTGTCATTTGGTCTCTTGTAAAGAGATATCTCATTGGCAATCATACCACATCTTCTTTTTTATACGTTTGGGGAATTAGACATGTTTCTGAGTGTTACTGATTGTTGCTTTTGTTGCACTTCAGTGTTTCCTTTGTTTTCCTTTTATAGTTGATGTGTTTCCCTCGGTTTTAGTTTGTAACCCGGATTTGTTTTCTCTAAATCGATCTATGACTTTTGAAAAGCGGTATACTACTGTTGCCTTTATTTACAAGCATATTATGGCACATTGTAGATGTATGAAATAATACTGAATTGCTAAAGTTTGTTAGTGACAGACCACAAGCTTAAATATTAGGTATATTCAAAACTTAGATTTAATTTCACTATTAAAAATTATGTCTGGTTACACTAACATGGCTAACCTTACAGTTTTATAATTGTTGACATCTAGGCGTTCACTTTGTCGTACTTAAATGTTTAAGGTTGTTTGTTTTACAGTTATCTCAGTGGCACGACACATCAGTCAAATATATTGTAGGTCTCATTGCTGTGTGGTATTTACAGTTACTTTCGGGATCTTTGCGTTGACCGGACTGTGGTTCAAATTTAAACTGTGGGAAATTATGCCTTTGTATTTACACCTTAATTATCCAATTAAACTGTTCATAACGAAGCAAGGCAACACACTTTAAGATGAAATACTTTCTTGATAGACGAAAACGTTAGACAACCTTGCAAAACTTATATTGGCAAAGTAAATGAACATCTTTGAGTGTAGTACGAATAATGTTTAAATACTTTTCTAATGTACACTTCCAGGTGTATTATTGATGTCTACAATCCAAGATGTTTCTATGAACCCACTTCTCGGTGCCCTCGGCTTTCCGAGTTTCCTAAAATAAATATAAAGAAGCTGGCATTATCCTTTAAAAGAGAACCGAAGGATATCAAAGGGACATTCAAACTCATACGTCGAAAATAAACTGATTTACGTATTTTGTCGTGTACTTGATGACGACCAGTTTTATCTTTTCACTTTATTCATTCCTGTGTGCTGGTTCATATTCTAGACGCTAGTCTTTGCTCCTTTCAAATGATATGCGGATAACCAAAAACTAAAAAAAAATGAAACTCAGAAATGGAAAAATACTAAATACCAAACTTGTTCAAAGGGTATCTACACATCTCAATATTTATAATCGCTTATCTAAAAATACTACAATCGCTAACATTTTTAATAATAAAAATCGTGGTTACCCTTCTATCGATAAGTGTCATGCCAAAAAATGACTTACAAGTCCCCTTCTTTCCACCAACAATATGGTAAGGTCCACGTTTAATGGTCGCACATTTGCCTTAAATTTTGAAATTGATATTAATTGAAAAAATAACAGTATTATCTATTTACTCACACAAACCGGGTATTCAGTACTTAGATGAAACTGGACGCTATTTATCTAAACGCACACAAGAACACCTAAATCGTTTTAAAAGACCCCATAATTCAAAAGTATCATTTATCAACACCTTAAGAAGCACAATCATCCTATTAAATATTCAACAGTTTAACCTTTAGAAGTAGTAAATAAGCAGCCTGGAGAATCTCATTCAAAGTTTGTACGATCATGGAAAATAATTGAATCAAATTGGATTAAAAAATTACAGACAGTCTATCCTCTCGGTCTTAATGATAATATCATGGGAATTGGTAATATATTGAGAACCGATTCTGTTAACATTTTGGATATAGTTTCTAAAACTGTTCGTAAAAACCGTTCTCATTGGCGTAGAATAAATCGCAATCAGAGAAAATTTCGTACCAACAATACAAATATTTCCGACCTAATTACTATTTAAAAAAACAACGGGAGACATTATATGTTAACCAAGCCCTGTTAATAAATTACATCAAATTTTGGAGGATTGCAACACAATTCCATATTGCAGTCCTATGTATGAAATCGTCTAAATTATAATTGCATATTGTTATTCCATTCTATTTCCCAAAATTGATCGCCCTGAAGATCATAAAAAACATTTTATTAAAATCAAATATGTCAATGAAGGTTTTGATTTTGTAAATATTGCCATTATTTTTAATGATCATTCTGTTAAAGAACAGATTCGTGGTTATTTTGATAATACTTAACTCCCTCTTATTTGTTATGTTTACAAAAAATCTACCCGGACATATGTGTTTAATTATAGCGAAGTGTGTAAAGATGTTAATATCAGTGACAATACACCTACGTCATGAAATTGCAGTAATTTCGAATACATTTATGGCCCCAGTAACCATGTTTTAACAGGAGACCTTAGCATCGTTCATGACCGAGAGTTGAAATTATTCCTCAGTAAAGGACCTAAATATCGTCCCCCGTCAATTATTAATTGGAATGAGTGTCGTAACATCATCGACTCACTCCGTAATTACTGCTCGAAATGGATAAAACGAGAAAAAGCTGACAAAAAATCCTTCGATTCTTTTTTGATTCAGTAATGAACATAATTGATATTCGTATTAAACATTTTTAAAAACATTGTACTCCTAACAACAACCATAATAACCCTATTTCTTGTATCGAACATAAGCTAAAAGAACTCGCCAAGGAATTCGTTTTTGTCCCGGCTGATAAGGCTGCTTATAATATCATTATTGTTTGACGTAAATTTTACATTGAGGTTCTGCAAAAGGAAATCACGAATTCACCAACATTCCAACTGACTACATTTTCGGAAAATGACATCTTTAACAAACATAAACTTTTAGCTACCTCTTTACAAGCAGAACCAAATACAATGAAAGTTCCAATTATGTACAGGCTTCCGAAGCTGCACAAAACCCCTTACAAATATAGATTTATTTCATCTTAAGCCATTGTTCCACTACTAAACTGTCTATTCTACTTACTAGTACACTTGGTACAATAAAAAACCTGGTAATAAATTGTTCAAATAAGGCCTTTGAAAATAGTGGAATTAATTACTTTTGGAGTGTCAAAAATTCATTTGAAGTACTTGATATATACTGTTTTGTTATGAGTTACAATTTATGACTAAAATCAGCAAAGACCCATCAAAACAACATCTGATACAAAAATTTAATAACACGTTTAGATATTTGGATGATATATTGGCTCTCAATAATGACGACTGCAGTGTGAACACTAAAGAGATTTATCCTGCTGAACTGACTTTAAATAAAGCTAATACTAACAGTGAACACTACCCTCTCCTGGATCACAATATCTATATCTTAAACGGGAAGTTTAATACCAAAATTTATAATAAAATGATTTTTCGTTTCCTATTGTTAATTATCCATTTTTAGATGGTGACGTTCCTTTGTCACCATCTTATGGTGT